TTTTCATTGGGAGCGTAGATATTTATTATGGTTATGTTGTCTTGCTCAGTTGACCCTTTGACCATGAGGTAGTGTCCTACTTTATCTCTTATGCTGGTTTGTCTCTTAAAGTTTACTTTATCAGAGATTAGTATTGCCACTCCTGCTTGTTTATTGTTGAAGTTAGCTTGGTATATTTTTTTCCATCCTTTAACTTTTAGTCTTTTTTAGTATTTGTGTGTAAGGTGTATCTCTTGCAGGCAGCATGTTAAAGGGTCTTGTTTTCTTATCAATTCTGCCACTCTGTTTCTTCACTGGTGCATTCAATCCATTGACATTCAGTGTAATTATCTATAGGTATGAATTAATTGCTGCCATTATATTAATTTTTTGGTAGTGCTGTTCGTTTCTTTGCTCTGCATGCCTTCTTATGCTGAGTTTGTGGGTTTTATGCTGTTTCTTGTTGCTTTTTCTTAGTTTTCATGTTTGCTTGTTCTGCTTAGAAGTTCATTTTCATGGTAAGTTGTGAAATATTAATTTTCTTTGGGGTTACATTATAGACTATTAACTTTTCTCTCCATTTAAGCCAATCTATTGTATCCAGTAATCTACCTGACCTCCTCACCATCTGGATCTCTGTTCCTACATTTATCCCTTCTTTGACATTGATATTATTTTGATCTTTGGTTGATCTCCCAGCTCCTTTGAATTCATTGTAGGTTTGTTCTGTTCTGGACTCTGCTATCCGTCATCTGAGTTTCAGGTGGTGTTGCCACATCTGTCAATCTATTTTGTTGTTCATATGGTTTGTCTGTCAGGCCTGACAGGCCTCCTTTTTTCTTGTTGGATATGGCAGAGTAAAGGGTCCTGCACAAGTTAATTTTAGGGCTGTGACCCAGAGACTGATGTCATAAGCAACAGCCAAAGAATTTACCCTTCCGACTGATAGGGCTCTTTCTCTCTGTGCCTTGGGAAAAACTGTGGGCTCAACACTAGACTTTTTTCGGGGGGTGCACACCCACCCGCCTGAAGGTGTCCAAGCTGGGCAAAGAAGGTGCCACAAGGAAGAGGAGGCAAAAATGTTTGGAATCCCCCCTCCTGCACCTTCTTTTGCAAATGTCACTGAACCGCTTTTAGCGCTGGTTCCCTGTGCCATCTGGCTGTAGCCCCACCCTCTGAACGCAGCCCAGGTGGGGTAGCCGCAGAAGGAATGCCGTGCCTTGAGCGATTCCTAAATCGCAGTATTTTCCTACATACCCGTGAGTTTTCCACTGGCGTGTGTGGGAAACTGACACCCTGCATCTTACGCTAGATCCAGAACTTTGGTGCTCTTCTGTGAAAGCAGCTTCTCTGGGTTTTTGGTTCCTCCCCCACGGAGCCTGTCCTACCTGACTCTGTCTCTGCTGCCACCACAACCGGAAGTCTCAACTTCATATTTTAAAATATCAGTGTCGGGATATTCTAATCACTCAGTTTAAAACTAATGCAATCTTTGTAAGTGGCAAATAGGTTTTCTCATTATTACAATTATTTACCATTTTTAGACCCTGGTGGTGGTGGTGTGGTTATGTGCCGTGGAGTTTGTTCTGACTCATAGCGTCCCTGTACAGCGTTTCCGAGGCTGTAAATATTTATGGGAGCAGAACGCCTCATCTTTCTCCCATGGAATATGTGGTAGTTTCGAACTGCTGACCTTGAGGTTCGCAGCCCGATCTGTAACCACTACGCTACCCTCGGATGTGTTTTATCCCAAAATTCTCACAATAAAAAATCCTGATGGACTGAATACACAATGCAATGCTTTATTTTTTTAATTCAAGCTATTCCCAATGATCTATAATATAAAATTATTTCATCACTAATGATTCATTTTACTTTTTCAGGAGAAGGATAAGTCTACTGAGTATTTCAGTGATGAGAATCTGGTAGCACTTGTGAGTAATCTGTTTGCGGCAGGTACAGAGACCACAGCCTCCACACTTCGCTGGGGAATTCTGCTTATGATGCGGTATCCTGAGGTCCAGAGTAAGTGCTCTAAGTTTCATGACATTGTCTAAAGGGAAGTCAGAAACCTCTTAGTCTGGAAAAAGCAGAATCTGATGTGGTGCTGTGGTTTAATGTACCAGACTGCAAAGCCATTGGAACTGCAAGCTCACTAGCTGCTCCTCAGAAACCCTATACAAGGTCTGTATGGGTTGGAGCCGACTCAATGGTGCTTGACAACAATAATGTAGCCATACAAAAATCCACACCAAACCCACTGCCATCAAGTTGATTCCAACGATGGTAACCACATGTGTTACAGAGTGGAACTGCTCCATAGGGTTTCTGGGCTGTAATCTTTATGGAAGTAGATTGCCAGACCTTTCTTCCATGGTGCCACTAGCTGGGATTAAACAACCAGTTTTTTGCAGGGCCTTCAGGGCTCTCTTTTAAGGTTAGTTGCTGTTGTTCAGTGCCATCAAGTCAGTTATGACTTATAGTGACTCTTCATAAGGTTTCCAAGGAATGGCTGGTGAGTTGAACCACTGACTTTGTGATTGAAACCAACCTTTCAATCCAGTGCATTATTTTGCAGTGTCATATCAAGACTCTTTGGGTTAGTGGTGATGGTTGGTGGTTATGTGCCGTGGAGTTGGTTCCGACTTATAGCAACCTTGGACAGGGTTTCTGAGACTGAATCTTTATGTGAGCAGAAAGCCTCATCTTTCTCCAGCAGAATAGCTGGTAGTTTCGAACTGCTGACCTTAAGGTTCACAGCCCGATTCATAACCACTACGCTACCAGAGCTCCTAAGTAGTTAATAGTAGTTAATAGCAAACCATTATATTGTCAGCTGCTCCACGAGAATCCTATACAGGGTATCTATGAATCAGAACTGACTCAACAGAACTCAACAACAACATATCCATCAGGGTACCTATAGTTTGTAGCCTGAAGGATAGTCTGTGTCTTTAGTTTTCTTAAGATAAAAGAAAGTCGATTTTGTTCTTCAAGCACCTTGAGATGATTTGAAGGCATGTAGGTTCCCAGAGGAGATCTAGGGGGTGGCAGTAGAGCAGAGAAAAGGGAAGCTAAGGACTTAGACAGCATTGGGTTTGATTTTCACATTTAAAGAAAACGGGGAAAGCTGTTCCAATACTCTTTCTTATTCCAGACTTGAAATATTTTAATTTATTTTATCCAGAAAAAGTGTATGATGAGATCACTAAAGTCGTTGGATCAGCCCAGCCTCAAATTGCACACCGCACTCAAATGCCATACACAGATGCAGTTATCCATGAAATACAGAGATTTGCTAACATCCTGCCTGCAGGCTTACCCCATGCAACTACCACAAATATCACCTTTAAAAATTACTTTATTCCAAAGGTAAGTATATAAGGCTGGGGAATGACACGAGAAGGGAAAAAATATGAGCTGGTCAAATCAAAGAAACACTAAAATGACCTGTCAAGTACAATCCCAGCCCACCTCTCTTTCTTGCTTCATTTTTTGCCTCCCTCCTTTCCTATTTTGCAATGAACAGCATTTGTGCTATGTTTGTAATAGCAATTACTTAGCAGAACTCTACAAGGCATTATTATTCTTCTGTGTTATAATTGAGGAAACTATGGTTCAGAGAGTTTAAGTCATTTGCCAGGACTGGAAATTTGGCATCTAATGGAGTCAGGATTCCAGTCAGCATGTGTCATCCTTTAGCACCCTGCACTCTCACCACACATCCTTCCTTGGGCAGTGATGTCATGCTTCATTTCCCTCCTCACACTGAAACACATTATGCTCTCTTGAATTCCCAATATTAAGACATAGATGCAGTCCTCTGGATTCCACTGGCAAACTGAGAAAGCATATATAGGTATTTTTTAAACTACACTCAAGACATGAGTTGGCATAAGGTCAGGTAAATCCATAGCACTAATTCTTTTCATTTTTACCTAGATTAATTGTTTCTATGGTAGCATAGTGGTTACGAATCGGGCTGCGAACCTTAAGGTCAGCGGTTCGAGACTACCAGCCGCTCCGCGGGAGAAAGATGAGATTTTCTACTCCCGTAAGGATTTACACCCTCGGAAACCCTGTACAGGGTCGCTATGGGTCGGAACCGACTCGACGGCACTTAACAACAACAACAGTTCTACTTCTGTATAGATCCAGGGTGCTATTGGTTATGGGGATCCCTCTTTACAGCATCACTTCCTATCCTGATAATACCCTGTGAACAAGAGGGTGGCTAAATTCATTTGGATTGCATATTCTCAGCATGCATTAAACATACTCATAGAATTAAGTTCAGTAGATTAGCAACTAAGATGGAAAAATAAGCATAACAAGCAATTTTTTAAAAATCCAAAAGCAATATAGAAATTATTAAGGAAGTAGTAATAGTGACAGGATTTTCATTCTAGCTATCTACTGGGCTGTGAGCTTACAGTCCCGGCTATCTAACCGCGTACCAGGGCAAAGGTTATTCAATCTTGCAGAATCTGAGCATCTTCTCTTTTGTGAAACAGGAAATGATCTAGCACCATTGGTAAAAGGATGAGAAAGTCAGTGAGTAGTATTCAGTATACATAACTGTTAAAAAGTCAAATCAAATGATTAAAAGAATGATTAAAAGTAGTAATTGTCCTTTTGTGAACTCACAAAGCTATACAGATGCATATGATTAAATGTTGTTGTTGTTGTTAAGTGCCGTCGAGTCGGTTCCGACCCATAGCGACCCTGTACAGGGTTTCCGAGGGTGTAAATCTTTACGGGAGTAGAAAGCCTCATCTTTCTCCCGCGGAGCGGCTGGTAGTTTCGAACCGCTGACCTTAAGGTTCGCAGCCCGATTCGTAACCACTACGCTACCAGAGTTCCTTATATAGATAACCACAAAGACTGTATTTTAAAGCCCTTTTAGAGAGGTAACTGGGATTATGTAACCCAAGTAAAATAGTGAATATTATTCTTAATGTTTTTTGCTTTTGCTTTGGTTTTTGGTGCTCAGAACACACTTCCTTACAGATATTTCCAATTAAAATGGTTTCATTTGCAACATCTGTTTCAGAGCTTTGGAAGTAGAATGGCCTTTTTTGATAAGTTGTTTGGGTGGGTTTGTTTAAGGAGTTTTGATGGTGTAGTGGTTAAGCTCTCAACAGCTAACCAAAAGGTCACTGGTTTGAACCCACTAACTGTTTTGCAGAAGTAAGATGTGGCAGTCTGCTTCTGCAAAGATTACAGCATTGGCAACTCTACTTGGCCATATAGGATTTCTATGAGTTGGAATCAACTCAATGGCAGCAGATTTTGCCTAACTTAACTTGTTCACTATGACAATCCGTGGACATAAAAAACCAAACACTCATGAAGCATCAAAGTCTACCAGGAACTACACATAGTTCTTTCATATGTGTCCTTTATCCTGTGCTTACAGTTAGCACATTATCACTATTTAACTTGCACCATACAAATCTGGTGTGGCGCTGTGGGTTAATGCGCCAGACTGCTAAGTTGTTTGAATCGCAAGGTCAGTGGTTCAAGCTCACCAGTTGCTCCTTGGAAACCCTATACAAGGTCACTATGGGTCGGAATTGGCTCGACAGCATGTAACAACAACAACAACAACAGTACAAATCTAGTACTGCAGTATAGGCTAAGTACTAGACTGGTAACCGCAAAGTCAATAGTTCAAACCCACCAGCTGCTTTCAGAAACCCCATGTCAAGAGTCATAACTGACCATCAATGCACAACAACAACATACAAATCTATAAAATGGAGTTTAGCAAAAATGAAATCTACTATCATTAAACAGGAGCTACCTGACTAGAGAAGAATTTGTCCCCAGTTCTGAGTTCAATGCTCATGAGGTGTGGGGGAAGGGCGATTGTTTGCTTATTTGGTTTAATGTTATTGTTGTTGTTGTTGCTAAGTGCCATCGAGTCGCTTCCAACCCATAGTGACCCTGCATAGGGTTTCCAAGGAGCGACTGGTGAGCTTGAACCACCAAGCTTGTAGTTCAAACGGCTTTGCAGTCTGGTGCATTAACTCACAGCACCACACCAGGAAATTATTTGGTTTAATAGATTTAATAAATTCAAAGTATTGCTTGGTGTTAAGAATCTATACAGCAGACTATACACCATTTCAACATTTTCTACACACACAAATCAGTGACATTGATCACATTCTACAAGTGTGTAAAAATTCTCACCCTTCATGTCTGAACTGTTTCTCTCCCATGAATATAAGCATGTTGTAATTGTTAAATGCTATGGAATCAGTTCCTCCTCACAGCAATCCTGTATAAGTCTCCTAAGGCCGTCAGTCTTTGCAGGAGCAGAAAGCCTCATCTTTATCCTACAGAGCAGCTGGTGGACTTGAACCACTGATCTTGTGATTTGCAGTCTACTGCTTATCCTACAGAGCCACTGTATTTCCCTAAATTTGCTGCCCTATAAGTTTCCCATCTGGAGTCCTGGAGTGGAACTACAGAATAACTACTATACTGCTATCCATAAAATCAGTAGCTCAAACCCACTAGTTGCTCCTAGGAAACTCTATACAGAGTCGCTATGATTCAGAACCAACTCAACAGCACCTAAAAACAACAGGTTTCCCATCTAATCTTTGGTGGTATTGCCAACTTGATCCCATATAGATAATTCTTAAACAGCACAATGCTCAAAGTATACCATGTTTATTACTTAAGCTAAATAATTGATTGGTTTTAAGAAAATTGCAGAGAATATTTTTGGTTTCTGGATGAACCCCCCAAACTGTTGATCTAAAGTAATTTTTAAATCATAAATGCTCATGTTTGTTTGTTAGTGAAACCAGTGGCAATCAAGTTCACACCAACTCATTACTGTCTCTTGTGTATCAGAATAAAGCTGTGCTCTCTAGCGCTTTCAATGGGTTATCTTTCTGAAGTAAATCACCAGGTCTTTCTTCCCAGGCATTTCTGGGTGTACACAAACTTTAACCTTTGATTTAACAGCTGAGTGTGCTGTTTATACACCCCAGGGAATCTGTTTTCATTGGTACTGAACAAAACTTTAGTCCAGCTGTAAGGACCCAGCTGATCATGCCTAACTAGA